CAAGAGAGAGACAAGAGAATATAGAACAGTCTTCCTGAAGTTGTGAGACAGGCCTCTACCCTGACCATGTTCAAAACTAGGTTAAAAACATTTTTTGCTGTCCGCACAACCGATTTATGTCAATTCCATCTCTTTTCAAACCCACATTTTAATACGAGTTTTAAGTCACATTTTATGTTTTAATATGGAATGATTGTACACAGAATATATTTATTATTTTTGCGCTTTTTGATCCATCCATTTTCTTTCGCTTCATCCGTTGCCGGGTCGCGGGGACAGCAGTCTAAGCAGAGACGCCCAGACCTGTCCTGGGTCTTCCCCGGGGCCTCCTCCCGGTGGGACGTGCCCGGAACACCTCCCCAGGAAGGCGTCTAGGAGGCATCCTGAACAGATGCCCGAGCCACCTCAACTGGTTCCTCTCGACGTGGAGAAACAGCGGCTCTACTCCGAGCTCCTCACCCTATCTCTAAGGGAGCGCCCAGCCACTCTGCGGAGGAAGCTCATTTCGACCGCTTGTATCCGCGATCTTGTTCTTTCGGTCATTACCCAAAGCTCATGACCATAGGTGAGGGAGGGAACGAAGATTGACCGGTAAATCGAGAGCTTTGCCTTTCGGCTCAGCTCCCTCTTCACCACAACGGTCCGATACAGCGACCGCATCACTGCGCACGCTGCACCGATCCGCCTGTCAATCTCACGCTCCATCCTCCCCTCACTCGTGAACAAGACCTCAGTTTTTGATCCGTGTTTTTAAATTGCTCTTGTGAAGCACTTTGAGTTGCCTTGTACATTAATTTTGTACAAATACATTTTGGTTGATCTAAAATACCACTACGACAAGACAACCCAGGAAACAGCCTGATTTTTGTATTTTTTTATTGCATTGTTGTATGTTATTGTTTGTAGTATAGAGTCAGTAGTGTCAAATGTTTTAAAGTAAGAGAGCCACTGTGTCTGGTTGAGTTTCCTCCAGGTGCTCCAGTTTCCCCCACCACCATAGGTAAAATTCTCCCAACACTAAAACAATGATTTGACTTTTTTTGTTTTAATATATACCAATAATGCTAAATAAAATAGGACTTCCTCTTGTAAAATACTCCAGACTGTGATCTTCGAGTTAGGCGTGTGTTTGAACTCACAGCACAGATGGAAAAGCAGAGAGAAAAGTCACACGTACGGTTTTTCTTTTCTCTGCGCTGGCACCTGTGAACTGGAGCATTCAGGCTGTGAACGGGTCTCCCACATGGATCAATCTGGGAGCTAAGTCTGAACCAGCGAAATTCACTCTTTAGTAGAATTTTAGCTACAAACGGCTGTGTGTTTGTCCAAGAGTAATAAGATTCTGAGAGTTTAAGATTAAGATTGAATAAAGAATCTCTAGCTTTGGCATAATAAAGAAGCAAGTCTAAAATCTCTAGCTTTGGCATAATAAAGAACAAGTCTAAAATCTCTAGCTTTAGCATAATAAAGAAGCTAGTCTAAAATATCTAGCTTTAGCATATTAAAGAACAAGTCTAAAATCTCTAGCTTTAGCATAATAAAGAAGCAAGTCTAAAATCTCTAGCTTTAGCATAATAAAGAACAAGTCTAAAATCTCTAGCTTTAGCATAATAAAGAACAAGTCTAAAATCTCTAGCTTTAGCATAATAAAGAATAATCCTATGATAGATTCTTCCCCAGAGAGTTAGATGAATAAGTCTTTTATATAATATTATGATCTGATGTTGTCTGAATTGCTTTGTTGTGAGGTCGATGGAGCGTTTGATTGAGAATAAATCCAAAACAAGATTGCGGTTGTGTCCTTCTAAATGACACATGGATATGAGCGACATCTGAAATATTAAGCTACTTATTTAGCCATTTTTTCAAAAGAATATATATAAAGTGGATATAGGGATCTGGGCTCGTCTCCCAAAGACATTTGAACCAAACAGGCTGAAAAACAACTTCTGCCCACGAGCCCTGGACCTGCCTCAGTCCCGGATATAAACTCATGCAGGGACTCTGTGTTATGTAGGAGAAATATTATATGCCAACTATTATTTATTTTATTTCTTTTTCCCATTTCTGTGTTCTTTTAACACATTACTGAATGTGGAGAAAACATAGAAAAACCGCAAAAAAATAAATGAATAAATAATAAAATAAGCAAATATTTTCAGGTCTCATTTCATTACTGTACGTAGAGTTAGTTTGGTTTGAAAATAATCAAATCCTTTGCATATGCGTTCGTTTCATTCAATCTACTTCAAACTTTACAAAGTTGTGGATTCGCCCCAAACAGTTTGAAGGCAGGAAATGGAATAATAACAGCCATTGGTCCAATAAATCTTAATTAATGTCAATGAACGTTCTTAAAGGTCCCGGGTCATCACTTTATTTAACCTGTATGTTGTTAGAATAGAAGTCTGTCTCACAATTTCAGGAAGACTGTTTCAGATTTTTAGCGGCGTGTATCTGAAATGCTGATTCTGGCCACCAGCAGGAGTCCCAGTCCCTGTGCTCCTCAGAGTCCCAGCAGGAGCCCCAGTCCCTATGCTTCTGAGAGTCCCAGCAGGAGGCCAGACCCTATGCTCCCCAAGGTCCTAGCAGGAGTCCCAGTCCCTGTGCTCCTCAGAGTCCCAGTTGGTTCCTAGGGCCCTAACACGTCAGAGATGTACTTTGGTGTGAGATAAATCACTCAAAACCCAACAAAAATCTCTTCTGCTCCATTTCAAACCTGAAAACATGTTATTTGTTGCCGGTGGTTGCCATGGGAACCTTGTTTTTGCTTTAAAAGAACCGTGGCCACAGCGTGATGCCTCTCATCATAGTCTGCTCACTCTCTTAGAAAACTCTCCACTTAAAAGATGCGATTAATTAAAGACCAAACTATCCTCAAATAAACTCAACCTCGAGAAAATCAACATCGCTCCATCCTTGAGAATTGCGAAAATATCTGCGCTGTTTATTCAATTTGACATTGGAAAAGTTTGGGGGATAAATGATGCAACTGTAGAAACTCAAACCCGGAGGGAATGGAGACGTCTCTCTGAAGACGGAGCGAGCACAAAAACAAAGTCTGCGGAGAAGGAAGTTCATGTGACTTAAGGAAATTGTTACTTAAAAATGCAAATACAGAGTTTGCTTTTGCTTCAGTAGCAGCAGAAGAAGTTTTTTTTTGTTTTTTTATTTCCATGGTTTGTTTGAACCAGATGGATGAGATGTATGATAGAGAGAGAGACCGGAGAGAGGCTAGAGAGAGACCAGAGAGAGACCAGAGAGAGACCAGAGAGAGAGACCAAAGTGGGAGAGAGAGGCAAGAGAGAGACCGGAGAGAGGCTAGAGAGAGACCAGAGAGAGGCCAGAGAGAGGCCAGAGAGAGAGAGCCCAAAGTGGGTGAGAGAGACAAGAGAGAGACCAGAGAGAGGCTAGAGAGAGACCAGAGAGAGTCCAGAGAGAGGCCAGAGAGAGGCCATGAGAGACCAAAGTGGGAGAGAGAGGCAAGAGAGAGACCAGAGAGAGACCAGAGAGAGACCAGAGAGAGGCTAGAGAGAGACCAGAGAGAGACCAGAGAGAGGCTAGAGAGAGAGACCAAAGTGGGAGAGATAGGCAAGAGAGAGACCAGAGAGAGGCCAGGGAGAGGCAAGAGAGAGACCAAAGTGGGAGAGAGAGACCAGAGAGAGAGCAGAGAGAGATCAGAGAGAGGCCAGGGAGAGAGCAGAGAGAGGGGAGAGCAGATAGAGACACCAGAGAGAGGCAAGAGAGAGACCAAAAAGAGGACACAGAGAGACCAGAAAAAGAGGCCAGAGTGAGAGACTAGAAACAGAAACTAGAGAGGAATCAGAGAGGGGGAACAGAGAGAGAAAGACCAGGAAGAGAGAGACACCAGAGAAAAAGATCAGAGAGACCACTCAAAAGGTCAGAGTCCGCTGCTTTAGAAAACCTTAAACATCCTACTCCTCTTCCTCCTCTTCCTCCTCTCCCCCCCCCCCTTGTGTGGGTCCTTGTTCTTGATTGCCCAACACAGAATAAAGACACAGAAGTTCCCACACATGGACAGGTGACTAATCAAAGGTTTTGTCTGTGAGAGAAACAGCAAAAAGCCTTAAAACCACCGGTGCCATCTATCTCTTCCTCGACCAATGCTTGATTTATTTATTAATTTTTTCTTTATTCTGAGCCTCTTGAATCCACTCGGTTTTGTCACGGTCCTGAGCGGTTCTGCTGGTTCCACTTGATTTGTGCAATTTGATAGGACAAGAGGTTTTTAATTTGTTTTGATTTTGTGGGACTATGAAGGTAAAGGTGCAGTTGATTGGACAGAAATGATATGGCCTTTCCCCAACTATTCATCTCTGAGATTTATTTGCAAATACAGAATCTATCGGTATTTGGGTAAAATGACCGAGACATCACTCTTGGAAGGATTAAGGATGACCTGTGTCCTTATCGCTAACACTTCCAGAATTCTGAATCTACTCGACGTCTACTAGAACAGCTAGAGCCGTCATTTTGACTGCTCAAATACATGGGATTCAGACACAATAAATCCTAACAAAGTGGGTTAGTTTATATAGTATAGTTTTCCATCCATTCATTTTCTTCCCCTTTGTCCATTCCTGGGTCTGGGTCTGAGAAGGTGGCAGTCTGGCAGAGCTGCACCCATTATTATTCTATTGCACACATTATTTACTAGCTAAAACCTTCAATTCAGGTCAGAAATCTAGGGGTAGTACTGGATTAAGACTTACATTTTTATTGCCACATCAAATCAGTAACATCAGCAGCTTTTGGCACCTAGAAACACATTGTCAAAATTCAAATCCTGCATTGGTCTCCAGTAGTTTAGACTACTCAAAACACAGCAGCTCGAGTCCTGACAAGACCCAGGAAGTACAATCAATCTTCCTGAAAATGTGAGACAGGCTTCTTCTCTGACAATGTTTTAATCCAGGTTAAAAACAGTTTTGTTTTGCTGTGCATACTGAGGGATTTCATCTTTACAGACAGAAGAATCTATGCTTTTCTTAAAACCTAACACCAGGTTGTTTGCTGTCTCTGTCCTGGATCCAGTGAGGCCTCTCCCAGTTCTACCTGACCGCCTCCCCCCCTCTCCCTCCCTGGACACATGCGTCTCAAATGGTCCCCTTGAGTCTGGATCTCCCGCAGTTATTAGCCCTCTGCCCGGTCGCCTGGATGAGCGCTCGACTATACAGTTTGTCATCCCCCGAAAAGACAGAATTCACTCACCCTCCCTCACCCCCCCTGTCCCCCACCTGCCTCCTTCACTTATGAGGCTCTTCATGGATGAGTTGCGTCGAACTGAGCGGCCTTTTCTTCGCCGTCACCGAGATCCAATCAGCCGTACAACGCTGCACTTAGCAATAACATGGAGTCTGCTTCACGAGGCACAGGTCCTGTCCCAGTGTCCACTAAACCTGGGTTTGAAGAAAGGAATGCACTGGTAATACTTTGAAGGTTGCATTATTTAACATTTATACAACCAGTTATTAGCACTTTACTGTAAAAAAGTGATGAAAAGGAAGTCAAACATGGCTCAAATTTGGCTAATTTTCTTTTAGTTTGAGCACATTTTTACTGCCAAGCGACAAGACAAGCGAAAATATCTTGTTTTAAAAGTATACAAAAAATGTCAGACAGCAAGAGAAGTCAGAGAGAGGCCAGAGAGAGACCAGAGAGACCAGAGAGAGACCAGAGAGAGACCAGAGAGACCAGAGAGAGGCCAGAGAGAGACCACAGAGAGACCACAGAGAGGCCAGAGAGAGGCCAGAGAGAGACCAGAGAGAGGCCAGATAGAGGCCAGAGAGAGACCAGAGAGGCCAGAGAGAGACCAGAGAGAGACCAGAGAGACCAGAGAGAGGCCAGAGAGAGACAGAGGCCAGAGAGAGGCCAGAGAGAGGCCAGAGAGAGGCCAGAGAGAGGCCAGAGAGAGGCCAGAGAGAGACCAGAGAGAGGCCAGAGAGAGACCAGAGAGAGGCCAGAGAGAGGCCAGAGAGAGGCCAGAGAGAGGCCAGAGAGAGACCAGAGAGACCAGAGAGAGACCAGAGAGAGACCAGAGAGACCAGAGAGCGGCCAGAGAGAGACCAGAGAGAGGCCAGAGAGAGGCCAGAGAGAGACCAGAGAGAGGCCAGATAGAGACCAGAGAGGCCAGAGAGAGACCAGAGAGAGACCAGAGAGACCAGAGAGAGGCCAGAGAGAGGCCAGAGAGAGGCCAGAGAGAGGCCAGAGAGAGGCCAGAGAGAGACCAGAGAGAGGCCAGAGAGAGGCCAGAGAGAGGCCAGAGAGAGACCAGAGAGAGGCCAGAGAGAGACCAGAGAGAGACCAGAGAGAGGCCAGAGAGAGGCCAGAGAGAGGCCAGAGAGAGGCCAGAGAGAGGCCAGAGAGAGGCCAGAGAGAGGCCAGAGAGAGGCCACAGAGAGGCTAGAGAGAGGCTAGAGAGAGACCAGAGAGAGACCAGAGAGAGACCAGAGAGAGACCAGAGAGAGACCAGAGAGAGGCCAGAGAGAGGCTAGAGAGAGACCAGAGAGAGACCAGAGAGAGGCCAGAGAGAGGCCAGAGAGAGGCTAGAGAGAGACCAGAGAGAGACCAGAGAGAGACCAGAGAGAGGCCAGAGAGAGGCCAGAGAGAGACCAGAGAGAGGCCAGAGAGAGACCAGAGAGAGACCAGAGAGAGACCAGAGAGAGGCCAGAGAGAGACCAGAGAGAGACCAGAGAGAGGCCAGAGAGAGGCCAGAGAGAGGCTAGAGAGAGACCAGAGAGAGACCAGAGAGAGACCAGAGAGAGACCAGAGAGAGACCAGAGAGAGACCAGAGAGAGGCCAGAGAGAGGCCAGAGAGAGGCTAGAGAGAGACCAGAGAGAGACCAGAGAGAGACCAGAGAGAGACCAGAGAGAGACCAGAGAGAGACCAGAGAGAGACCAGAGAGAGGCCAGAGAGAGGCTAGAGAGACCAGAGAGAGACCAGAGAGAGACCAGAGAGAGGCCAGAGAGAGGCCAGAGAGAGACCAGAGAGAGACCAGAGAGAGGCCAGAGAGAGACCAGAGAGAGACCAGAGAGAGGCCAGAGAGAGGCCAGAGAGAGGCTAGAGAGAGACCAGAGAGAGACCAGAGAGAGACCAGAGAGAGACCAGAGAGAGACCAGAGAGAGGCCAGAGAGAGGCTAGAGAGAGACCAGAGAGAGGCCAGAGAGAGACCAGAGAGAGGCCAGAGAGAGACCAGAGAGAGACCAGAGAGAGGCCAGAGAGAGACCAGAGAGAGGCCAGAGAGAGGCTAGAGAGACCAGAGAGAGACCAGAGAGAGACCAGAGAGAGGCCAGAGAGAGGCCAGAGAGAGACCAGAGAGAGACCAGAGAGAGGCCAGAGAGAGACCAGAGAGAGACCAGAGAGAGGCCAGAGAGAGGCCAGAGAGAGGCTAGAGAGAGACCAGAGAGAGACCAGAGAGAGACCAGAGAGAGACCAGAGAGAGACCAGAGAGAGGCCAGAGAGAGGCTAGAGAGAGACCAGAGAGAGGCCAGAGAGAGACCAGAGAGAGGCCAGAGAGAGGCCAGAGAGAGACCAGAGAGAGGCCAGAGAGAGGCCAGAGAGAGAGGCCAGTGATTTTAGAACCAATGACTCATCATCAGGAACTTCTGGCCCACGGGTCATCGAGTGCAGATGTGGGATTGTTTTTAACCTAAAATCTAAATCTTTGTGTTGCATTTTTTTTTTTAAATGTTCATGAAAAGTGCTTCATAAATAACATTTGATTGATTGTTTGATCTCGGAAACTCGAAAGTTCCGGCTTCCCGCTCGTGTGTTTTTTCAGAAACAATATTTTCTATTGCATTTAAAAAAATAATCCCTACATTTACACAGACATATGGCAGAAAAACAGAAATTAAATAAGTATGTATAAACACACAAACACACACACTCAAAATCGATGTGTTTTAAATCACACATTTAAATCCAAAATACATTACAAATAATTAACAGTTTAATTTAATTTTCTTAAGCAGAAATGTATGTTTGAAAGACCATAACTTTCTACTCACAGAAAAAATCATCTGAAACAGAGGCCCGAAAAAAGTTTGATTCTTTTTCTTGTCTATGCCATTTTATAGTTTGACAAAAACTCAACAATTATTGCTGATTGTGACCACGACATTTGTGATTTTTGTTTTGAGTGTGATTAATCTTGCGTCGCTAATTAAACCCCTCAAAACAAACAGAACCAGCAGCTCCACATCTCACTTCCCTCGTCACCCCGTAAAAAAAACAATTATTATTATTCATTTTTATTTTTTATTTTTTTTTATGCCAGATCAGCATTTCTCCTGGTTTCGGCAGGGACCAAACCAGAGCGAATCCAACACGGGTCATTAGTAATATTTGAATGGGCCAATCACAGCGTCACACTCGGGCAATCAGACGCCTTTGGCCCCAGAGAACAAGACAGTTACGTGCAGCAGCTATTAGCATGTTGTTGATGTGATTGTACACTTAATTGCTAATTAGCGGTAATTGCAAATAGCATGGATTGGCTTTGTAGTGTGTGTGTGTGTGTGTGTGTGTGTGTGTGTGTGCGTGTGTGTGTGTTGTCTGGTGCATTCTCTCTGCTGGGGTTTGGGTGTTGGACTGTGTTACCATGACATATTTCACACAGATCCAGGCATTTGACTTCGGTTGTTATACTTGGATTTTATCATCATTAAGTCTCGTTAGTTACTTTTGGAATTATGTATTTATTTATTAGTATGGATGTGTTGCTGCTGGACTCCAGTATCTCTATCTCTTCATATCTATCTCTCTTTAGATTCATTAATTACTTAAAACACAATAAACAAAAAACATGCCATAGTAGCACATATATGTTGGAAGTTTACGATGTGTATTGACCTGGGATTGATTTTAAAAAGCCACAGACCGGTTTGGATCGGACTGCATTTTTCCCAAGTCTGTATTTAAGTGTTAGAAAACTGACAGTGATTGGTCCAAAGTGCAGCTGGAAGCCACGGTTAACAAGGAATTTCCCCAGATACTAGAGTCAAGTCGAGTCTAGTACATTCACTTTATTTGCCATTTGCAGTAAAACCACATCGGAATACATTTAAAAAAGTCCCCAGTGTGCGCCGGACAAGAACATAAATAAAACATGCTAAAAAGTACAGGAATGGGACCAGGTGGAAACTACTCCACCTGGTTGTGTTTCCATCACGCTTTAGTATCTGGTGTCTTATTCTAGCAACCTGCTCACGACAGACCTAGGGTGGTAACCATGGCTTCCAACAGCACTCTGGCCCAATCAGGGTGGAGTAGAGTAGAGTAGGTTAGGGTAAAGTAGAGTAGGGTAAGGTAGGGTAGAGTTGGCTAGAGTAGAGTAGGGTAAGGTAGAGTAGAGTTAGGTAGGTAAGGGGAAGGTAGAGTAGAGTAGGCTAGGCTAGGGTAGAGTAGATTAAGGGAGACTGGAGTAGAGTAAGGTAGAGTAGAGTAGTAAGTAAGTAAGTAATCTTTATTTATATACCGCCTTTTCACTGCACATCGGAGTCTCAAAGCGGTTTACAATTGTTATTTTTGGGAGTGGGGGTCGCCAGTACAGGAGGCACATGCCAGACCTATTGTACATATTTTTAGTGGTAGGGGAAACCGGAGCACCCGGAGGAAACCTACGCAGACACGGGGAGAACATGCAAACTCCACTCAGAAAGGCCCTGGTCCAACCGGGATTCGAACCCAGGACCTTCTTGCTGAGAGGCGAGAGTGCTATCCACTCAGCCACCGTGCCGTAGGGTAGGCTAGGCTAGGCTAGGCTAGGCTAGGCTAGGCTAGGCTAGGGTAGGGTAGGGTAGGGTAGGGTAGGGTAGGGTAGGGTAGGGTAGGGTAGGGTAGGGTAGGGTAGGGTAGGGTAGGGTAGGGTAGGGTAGGGTAGGGTAGAGTAGAGTAGAGTAGAGTAGAGTAGAGTAGAGTAGAGTAGAGTAGAGTAGAGTAGAGTAGAGTAGAGTAGAGTAGAGTCATCATTTTAGGACTTCACAAGTGAATGAAAGCTGTAAAGAATGGAACTCCCAAAAATTCTGAAATTTTGTCAATTTGACGGTTCCTAATCCAAAAAAAAAAATCCAAAAAAGCAGTTTTAGTTTTTCACTACTTTTATTACTATTATTCATAACTCACATGGTGTTTGTATTTGGTACACACTAAAACTGGTAAGTAAGTAAGTAAGTAATCTTTATTTATATACCGCCTTTCACAAACCAGAGTCACAAAGCGGTTTACAATTGTTATTTTTGGGCATTTGTCTCTCACTCCACACAGAGATGGGAGCGGGGTCGCCGAACAGGAGGCGCATGCTAGAACTATTGTACATATTTTTAGTGGTAGGGGAAACCAGAGTAAAACTGGTCCATGTGAATGAAATACAGCACAATTAAATAGTAACTGATGCAAGCAAACAGTGTAATGCTATGGTAACTAGCA